ATATACACAATGGAATATTATTCAGCCATAAGAAGAAAACAGATCCTACCATTTGCAACAACATGGATGGAGCTAGAGGTATTATGCTCAGTGAAATAAGCCAGGCGGAGAAAGACAAGTACCAAATTATTTCACTCATATGTGGAGTATAAGAACAAAGGAAAAACTGAAGGAACAGAACAGCAGCAGAATCACAGAACCCAAGAAAGGACTAACAGTTACCAAAGGGAAAGGGACTGGGGAGGATGGGTCGGAAGGGAGGGAGAAGGGGTGGGGAGAAGAAAGGGGGCATTACGATTAGCATGTATAGTCGGCGGGGGGTGCCACGGGGAGGGCTGTGCAACACAGAGAAGACAAGTAGTAATTTTACAGCATCTTACTACGCTGATGGACAGTGACTAATGGAGTATGTTGGGGGCACTTGGTGAAGGGGGGAGTCTAGTAAACATAATGTTCCTCATGTAATTGTAGATTAATGATGAAAAAAAAGAATAAATACAGAAATGCTTTTATAACTGTATCATAATGATTTAACAATGAATTTTAATAGGTATTTTCCAGAATTAATATAGTTTGATAAGTTTAAATATCCTACAAAATATAAACAGACTCATAAACACAGGGAACAGACTGGTGGTTACCAATGAGAGGGCACAAAAAATAGGTGTATGGGATAGAGTTACAAACTTCAATTTATTAAATAATTTAGTCACAGGGATGCAAGTACAGCACAGGCCATAGAGCTAATAATATTGCAATATATTTATGGTGACATAATAACTACACTTATGGTGAGGCTTTGGTACCATAAGCAATTGATGGATCATTTTGTTGCTCATCTGAAACCAGCATTATGTTTTTAATCATCTATGTTTCAACAAAAACATTTTAAGGAATAAAGGAAGAATAAAATGGCCGATAGTGTCTAAAGGTGAAGAAACTTAGAAAAATAGATTCACATCAGTTCAGTGCTCATTTTCCTTAAAACAAACATTCCAACATGTGTCTAATTATTCAAGGAACTATGAGGTCACGAAACTTATGGAAAATTGAAGCTCTTGTTCATAGCCAACCTGTCCCCCACCAGCACAGACCCATAGGGTTACACCATGACCCCTCCGATAGGCCGCAAGGTTTCACACCTGGAGTGCCTCTGGCCAAACATCTCCCCAACCAGCACAGACCCTTAGGGGTCAGCCAGAGGTTCCTCCCATAGTCCCTCAAGGTTGCAGCCCTGCAGTGCCACTGAGCTGACCCCTCCCCCACCAGCACAGACCCATAGGGGTCCACCAGGACCCCTCTCCCATAGTCCCCCAAGGCTTCAGCCCTGGAGTGCCACTGGCCCAACCCCTCCCCCGCCAGCTCAGATCATAGGGTCTGCCAGGCCCCTCCCATCATCAAGGCTTCACCCTTGGAGTGCTGCAGTCCCGGAGTGTCCGGTGCAGCACACACCCATAGGTGTACACCACGACCCCTCTCCGATAGGCCCCTAGGCGGCACCCCTCGAGTGCCACTATCCCTGGCCCTCCCCCACCAGCACAGACACAGAGTGGCCCTCCAGGAATCCTCCAATAGGCCCCAAGGCTGCATCCTTGGAATGCCTCTGGCCGACCCCTTCCCTTCCAGCCCAGACCTTAGGGTCTGCCAGGACTCCCTCCGATATACCCACAAGGGACTGCAAGGCTACACCCCAGGAGTGCCACTGGCCCGACTCCTCCTCTGCCAGCACAGACCTTAGGGTCTACCAAGACCCCCTCCTAGTCCCACAGGCTACAGCCCCATAGTGCCGGGGTCTCGGCCCCTCCCCCACCAGTACACCTCCATGGGGGTAAGTCAGGGCACCTTCGAAAGGCCCCAAGGCTGCACCCCTGGAGTGCATTTATTGTTCCTAGGGGTATTTAACTGGAAAAGATTCTCAAAAAATTTATGCTTGAAACATTTTCCAGCTTAAAATCTGTGCCATGTCAGTGACAATGAAGTGCCTTGTGATCCTCCTCTTTGTTAAGGCATAACAGAAGGAATCGCCCAGGATGGTGACACATATCTTAGAATCAGTTACACAAACCCAGCTGCTCCTCTTAGACAAACAGGCTGCAAGGAGGGCAGGCGAAAGCAGGAGACACGGACATTCACTGGAGTCCAGGCACCTTACAAAGTCTGAGCAAATACTGAAGGCTGTGCAGAATCCCGGCTTTCACCCAAGTCCGTTTTCCTCTGAGGTTGTGTATCAGGTATATAGTCCCACACCCAGATGTACTGCCTTCCTACAGTTTTTCCCCTCTTCTTTCTGGCTGCTTTTCCACAATTTTCTGTAGCTTCACAGAACAATTCTCTCAATGCATTTTCCTCATCTAACCAAATGGTTAAGTGTGGTCAAGAAAAATTACTGGCTTAACATCACATAGGAAGCTAGTGTCCAAGCTGGGATTTGCCTAGAATTCTTACTTGTCATGGGGCTATACAAAAGTATCAATAGCTGACATTTATTGAACATTTAAGTATATGCCAGGAAAGATGTTAAGTAGTTCATCCACATAAACACATTTAATCCTCACCACAGTCTTATGAATTATAATTATTCCCTTTTACATATGAGGAAACTGAGGCTCAGAGGGAGTTTAAGTAACTTGTCAGGGTTACTGTTCCCCTCTGGTAAGTGGTGGGGACAGCCAGGAGTCCGTCCCCGGAGCTGTTAACCCCTATGAAGGTTCCCGGTGCAATGGCATCACTACAACAGATATAAAAATATTTTTTTTTAAATTAAGGCACTATTCAGAAATACACAAAAATGTATGACCTAAATTGTGCTTCTTTTAAATCCTCAAGCTAGCTGTTATTGTTTTTCATGTCATTTTGTTAGGTCAAGGTAGCCTGAGAATTATGTAAATAAGAGCCTGAAGTCACATGAACATGGGCAAAATCCATCAGATTGCTGATCACTAATGAACAGTTAGGTCATGGACTTCATCCAGGTCATGGTTATTTCTGTTACATTCCACTTTACAGTTATTTATATCACAGAAGCAAAATGAGACAACTCAAAAGGGATAATGATTCCTGTTCTTACTGCAAGTTTTTCCAATTTCTTCTAGCTAATCTAAAAGACGTACTTCAAGCAAATACAGTTACATATAGAAACCTGGATATATCTGCTTCTTTATTTTTAAATAAGTTGCTACCATACTTGAGCCCATGCATTCTTTCAAGAAAACCTTTTCTGATAGAGAGCTCATGTAGAATCACCAATTGCTCTAAAATTTCAAACGGTAATTCAAAATAAAACTGACTTTCTTGCTTAACCATATTTATTTTAAAGAAATTGACCACTGCCTCTTTCCTGCTTGTCCTTATCCAAGGCCAGAACAGGATCAGCTGCTTTCCGCTTATAGGTCTTGGTAACTTTATCCACATCGGGTTGTTTTCTGGTCATTTCCTCCACGAAGGTCTGAAATGTCAATGTCAGTTAAACGTCAATTAATAAAAGTATACCAAAGAAAATTATCTTTACAGATGAAGTAAAAACAAAAGGATAAAAGGAGCATGCAATTATTTCCGAAAAAAGAATAAACCATTGGGTTTCATCTTTAGGGGAAAAAAATCTAAACCATTGTAACATAGAATTTAGTCATTTCTGAAGAATAAAAAATGTTATACTTGATAATGACAGCATTACAAAAATTATTTTCTTTAGTCTGAAAACCATGCATGGGAGCAGCTGTATGAGTAACACAACTGGTCTCCACAGCAGCTTGGATCAAGCTTCCAAGCTCTTGCTGAATCAGCTTAAAGTGAGCATTTGCCTGTAAAGAAAGGAGTTAACTGGAGTGGTCCCTAGGACTTTTCTGCGGGGCCTTTCATCTATGTATTTAAAATACTTAATTATTGGCTTTGATATACAATGTCATAAAGCATCCACACTAAATGTAGATATATTCTAAACATTCTTTCCTTGTCAATAAATATGCTATGCCAGGAGGGTAAAAGTTATTCAGGATGAAGTTCATAGTTAAAAGGTTTGACTATCTTCCCATTTCTTCGCTCATCTCCTAGGCTCATTGTTATTGCTGACAAGCCATCCCCATATCTGGACTATGCGGCAAAGGCATACACTCTGGGGAAAAGTGATGGGGAAAGGAGGGGGCAGATATCAGGGAAAGTGGAGTGACACATTTCTGGAATATTTGTCACATTGGAGACCACTTATCACACATGGCTTGAGACACTTCAGGGCCATTATAGACACTGATATTGTATACTTTTATTAAAATAAAATATCAAAGTTAACTGCTTATCCAACAAAGCTTTGTAAATGTATAACAAACAAACAAAGAAGCAGACAAACAAAGTCACTGTTGGTGTGACACCTACCATCTCAGAGTTTAAAACAGGCAGGATATACAGGAGAAGTAACTTTTTTGAGGAAGAGGATGTGTTCCCTTGCAGATATGATTATTTGAAGTACTGTTGGTTATTTTGGGAGATGTTTAGCAGCACACAGCAAGAAATGCAAGCACGGAGCAATCAACAAGGGTGGGTGAGCAGAATGAAAGCAGCAGAGGGCTAAGGATGAAATGCAAGGAGGGCTGGTGTTCAGAAAGCAAGAGGTAGGGCAAGAGCCACCCTGAGATAGGACCACAGGAGGGTGACTTCACAGAGGCTAAAAAGGGGAGAGCCGTGGGAGAGCCGAGACCATCAACATTAAGTGACGGAGAAGTGGGACGTTTTAGGGAAGCAGTAGACTTAGAGACCCAGTTGGAAGACTTGATGAGTGTGCACAAGGGGGTGCGGTTTACAAGCAGGAAGCACTTTTGAGAAGCATGGCAGTGAAAGAAAGAAAATACCTGGGAGGACAGGGGTTAGGTTATTTCTTTTACCTGGTGCTCTGCAACAAAGGCTTTCACCTCTTCAGTTTCCTGGGGGATGACTTCCTTATCCTTATCACTCAGTGTGGTTTTGGCCCATTGCAGCCGCACCAGTAGAGTTTCCAACAGTTCCTGTGTAGTGAGGAGCCCAGCCAGGGCGCCAACTAACCTCTGCTGATACTGCTGGGTGCACGCCACCACCTGTTGGGGAGACAGACATCGCACTGCAGCCCCTCCATCAGAGTCAACAATTTCATTGATGGAAAAGAGACAAAATATAAGAGTGAATTAGCCTCATCCTGGGCTGCATGCCCGCTACTTGTGGTCTTCCTAGAGCCCACCGAGACTCAGCCTGGGTTCTGTGCTTTCCCTCCATGATGTGTGCCCCCTTCAGAAGTTTAGAGATGCCCATCAATCACCTGGGCTGCCTTTTGTTGCCTCATTTAAGTTCAAACGGCATTCTATGAATGATCAAGTGTGCTTCCTCCATGTAGCAGAGTAAAAATAAAAACAGCTAAGATCTTAAATACAGCATTAAACTACATCAGGTATGCAAGTCACTCCACAAGCATATACTTCTCTGAAACGCTACTATTTAAGTACTGCATTATTCAACAGGCACAGTGTGGACGTGGGACAAAAAGAGATTCGGTGAACCAAATGATCACCTTGTCATTATTCAAGGACGTAGCTGTAAAATTCCTTTAACTTTGGAATGAAAAGTGGATTGGAGGGGCAGCCAATAGGCACAGGAAGGGTACTTTACAGAACATGTGTCTGCACAGAGGCTCATGTTCCCACAGCGGGAAGTGCTTCTTAATTTTGAAGTCTTCATAACTCCCTATTCTCGAAGCTACTGCAGCTCTAAAGATGATCTGAGATACACGGACCTCCTCAAACCTGGCCCAGATGAGTGTTATCCAGTTCTTAAAGGTGGTGCTGCAGTCAGTGGGGCAGAGGGCCAGCAGAGCGTTTCCCATGCTGGTAGCTTTATTTAGTTCTGCTTGTTTTTCTTCCAGTTTCTTCATGAATTCCTACAGCAGAAACAAAGACTTCAGTTAGCTGCTGGCCCTGGCTGAAAACAAAACTCCAGTGACGTTCATTTGACTGTCAGAGTTAAACAAATAAACCAGAACTTCAACTGGTTTATTCCCAGCTGGAAAGAATCCACTAATTGGGACATTAAGAGAGGAGAAGGGAAAAACCTACAAAAAACTTACTCTCTAACATGTATTTCAAAATACAAATCCAGGATGATACCTCACGCTTCACAAAATACATTAAATAAAAACGCACTCTCTTAAACTTGGACATATTATGATCATATTAGTGGAGAATAGGATTGGGAGAAAGAGTAATACCAGAGATAGAAATAATATTTATTGCAAAAAAATTTCTAAGAAATAAGACAAGGAAGTTAGTATTTAAAATAGCATTAACTGTGTCAGGAATGATAGCAGTATGTACTAAACCAAAGTGCCAAGGAAGACAGAGGGTTGGGCAAGGAACTTATACATGTTTGGGAGTGTTGGAGAAAGGGTCCAAATGTCCAGGCAGGGAAGAGCCAGGGAGAGGCTGGAGGCAGGGGGCCAGCCTGCGTGAGAAGTGTCCCTTTCAGAGGCCAGTAAGAGCCATATTCTGCCTCAGCAGGATGAATAAGTTTTGAGAGGCTTCTTTCAAATCAACCTGTTTTACCCATGTCTCACATATGTAACTGTACTTTCTACCATCAGAACTGTATCGACAGATGCATGGATTGTAGAACTCCGAACATGGGATAAAAAATGAAGACCTTTGTCTTAAAAATGGTGACCTAAAAGAAGGTAAAAAAAACAACCACCTCACACTGAATTTCAAGCATCCTGCCTGGACCCCCAGTGGGCTAAGAGGGACCCTGACTCACAAGGGTTGCCAGATGCTGCACACAGCTGTCACTCCTGTGATGGGGAGCAGGGTGTCACTGAAAATATGGGTGTTTACTATAGTGTCAGTGACCTTCAGTTTTTAACTTCTGTGAAGCAGCTCTGACATGTAGCTCCTCCCGTGGTATTTTGCTATGTTAAATAATTTGTTTACATTCATATCTACTATACATTAAGGTCCCCAAGATCACAGGTCTGTGTCTTATTCTTATTTCGTGTCTTAGTGATTGAATAAATACTTCTTTCACCTTTTAATTAGCATTTTTTCTGCTGTGGAGTCAAGGTTCAATTAACAACAGGCTCCACTAACATGACCTACTTCTTAAATATCATGACCTATTTTTAAAAATATTTTAAGTTTCCCCAGTATGGGCCCCTTAAATAAAAGAAAAACAACTTTACAAGGAAGAGAAAACCAGAAGTTAATAACAGCTGTGCTTTTCCAGACGCCAGCGGATCAGATCACGTACTCTTTACCATTCCTGCCCAGGGAGGGCCAGGGCCGTGCCGGGAAGGCTGCGGATGGGAACATCGCCTGCCCGTCACGCGCCGGCTCTGCTCATCGGCTGAGCGCTGCTCCCGAGGTGTGTACTCATGGGGGAGAGCTTGCCATTTTTAAAAGTTGGATTATACTGAGAAGCCTCTAGTCCTGGGGCTAAAAAAACTAAACATTCTGCATTGCTTCTAATGGTGAATGTGTTAAGGAAAACAAAGGAAATGAAAAAGAATAAATAACGTTAAATGTTACTACTAAGAATTTTAACTAAGAATTGAATATCATTACTAAGAAGTATTACTGTGGATATTACTGTGGATAATGCAACATGTTATCACTGAGAAGCCCTTTATAAAATTACATGTTACTTTATGCTATTTAAAAATATTTAAAGATGATTCGTTGTAAAAACCACTACCCCTGCTCTGGATACCTGCCTCCTGATGTTTCTGGGGAGCTCCTGGTCCTGCTGTGAGGGTGGTGACCCCACGAGCAGGCTCCTTTCTGGGGGTGTCAGACCTGGAGCCTGGGCTTCAAGGGGCTATGCTGGGACCCAACCCAGGTATATTAGTAGAATTCAGTGCTGGCTAATGGTCAGCCTAGGGTAATATAACATAAACTAGTTTTTCAAAATATTGAATGGAGTCAAAAATTTATAATCAATTTGATGTAATTTCCCCACTTCTGCATTTAAACTTCAACTTTAAATGTCATTCTTTCAGATAATATTATACAAGCTCGCATCGCTTTTACTAATGACAAAGCAGTATTTTATTGCTAAATGTGAGGTACCCCATCACTGAGAGAGCATAATAATTAAAGAAGTTTCCACAGATGATGTAACTTACACTACACTAAAATTAATGTTTTTCCAATATGACCTTGAAAGATGAGGTTATTCAGCAGTGATAAACAGATCTTTTAAAGTTAATAGGAAATGCTGACATCAATACTACACTGAGTGTTAACATTGCAAATTCCTGACTTTTAGAGTCAAAGTTTAAAAAAACATCTGTTGAGAGCTATCTGGACCATTCTCTTAAGGCCATTTTGCTGAAAATTCAATGGCCAGATTTTCACTTGGTTCATTATTCAGTGGTATATCTACTTATATTCCTTTACTTGTAATTTATACTATGAGCTACTTGTCAAAAGAATTTAAGGCGGCTCTTGATTAAAAACAGAATAAGCAGAGGCTTAAAAATAAAATTTGAAGGCAGTTGTTAAATTACCTGCTTGTCTTGCTTACAAAGGTCAAAATTATTAACTCACAGTTCTAATGGTGTAATTTTATAAATGCCAAACTGCTCATTAAAGAAGCTTCATCTTTGAAATGCACATAAAAATGCAACAAAACTGACCAATTGTGTCAGAAGTCAAATAACCCCCTATAAAAATCAATGTGCTTTCTTAGAGGAAATAGATTTTAGGATAGATTTATAGAATAACGACCTTCTTTATAAAGAAAACAAAAAGAGACTCACATGGAGACTCATTTCTGCAAGCAAGGAGGACACTGATAAATTCTAATATGTACTGAATTTTAAATTGTTTCTCAGGAAGGAAAATATTCAGGCAGTTGCTATTTGCAGTCATGAGTCTATTTTGCCTATTTTGTTTGATTTTTCTCATTGAGTTTTACTTAACATTCATGTAACTCACTTTATGCTTATCAGTGAGAGTCCGAAGACCATCCTCATCCTCTGGGAGAACGTCATGCAAAAGGAGGGTCTCCTCTGCGTCTGACAGCCACTCCAGCAGGGGGTGCACCACGTAGTTAAACTCCTACGCCTAATGGTGGGCACACACACACACACACCCCAAACAAGAGCCCCAGATATGCTTGTAGTATAGCAGATGCTTCCTCTCAATGGGAAAAAAGTCTTACTTACATTTAAACTGATTAAATCAAGTGCACATTATCCCCATTAAAAAGATAAAGCTATACCGTGCTGCATTTTACAAACATAAGAAAAACATCTAATATAGCAAAAAGGCCACATCGGCTGAGCGCTGCTCCCGAGGTGTGTACTCATGGGGGAGAGCTTGCCATTTTTAAAAGTTGGATTATACTGAGAAGCCTCTAGTCCTGGGGCTAAAAAAACTAAACATTCTGCATTGCTTCTAATGGTGAATGTGTTAAGGAAAACAAAGGAAATGAAAAAGAATAAATAACGTTAAATGTTACTACTAAGAATTTTAACTAAGAATTGAATATCATTACTAAGAAGTATTACTGTGGATATTACTGTGGATAATGCAACATGTTATCACTGAGAAGCCCTTTATAAAATTACATGTTACTTTATGCTATTTAAAAATATTTAAAGATGATTCGTTGTAAAAACCACTACCCCTGCTCTGGATACCTGCCTCCTGATGTTTCTGGGGAGCTCCTGGTCCTGCTGTGAGGGTGGTGACCCCACGAGCAGGCTCCTTTCTGGGGGTGTCAGACCTGGAGCCTGGGCTTCAAGGGGCTATGCTGGGACCCAACCCAGGTATATTAGTAGAATTCAGTGCTGGCTAATGGTCAGCCTAGGGTAATATAACATAAACTAGTTTTTCAAAATATTGAATGGAGTCAAAAATTTATAATCAATTTGATGTAATTTCCCCACTTCTGCATTTAAACTTCAACTTTAAATGTCATTCTTTCAGATAATATTATACAAGCTCGCATCGCTTTTACTAATGACAAAGCAGTATTTTATTGCTAAATGTGAGGTACCCCATCACTGAGAGAGCATAATAATTAAAGAAGTTTCCACAGATGATGTAACTTACACTACACTAAAATTAATGTTTTTCCAATATGACCTTGAAAGATGAGGTTATTCAGCAGTGATAAACAGATCTTTTAAAGTTAATAGGAAATGCTGACATCAATACTACACTGAGTGTTAACATTGCAAATTCCTGACTTTTAGAGTCAAAGTTTAAAAAAACATCTGTTGAGAGCTATCTGGACCATTCTCTTAAGGCCATTTTGCTGAAAATTCAATGGCCAGATTTTCACTTGGTTCATTATTCAGTGGTATATCTACTTATATTCCTTTACTTGTAATTTATACTATGAGCTACTTGTCAAAAGAATTTAAGGCGGCTCTTGATTAAAAACAGAATAAGCAGAGGCTTAAAAATAAAATTTGAAGGCAGTTGTTAAATTACCTGCTTGTCTTGCTTACAAAGGTCAAAATTATTAACTCACAGTTCTAATGGTGTAATTTTATAAATGCCAAACTGCTCATTAAAGAAGCTTCATCTTTGAAATGCACATAAAAATGCAACAAAACTGACCAATTGTGTCAGAAGTCAAATAACCCCCTATAAAAATCAATGTGCTTTCTTAGAGGAAATAGATTTTAGGATAGATTTATAGAATAACGACCTTCTTTATAAAGAAAACAAAAAGAGACTCACATGGAGACTCATTTCTGCAAGCAAGGAGGACACTGATAAATTCTAATATGTACTGAATTTTAAATTGTTTCTCAGGAAGGAAAATATTCAGGCAGTTGCTATTTGCAGTCATGAGTCTATTTTGCCTATTTTGTTTGATTTTTCTCATTGAGTTTTACTTAACATTCATGTAACTCACTTTATGCTTATCAGTGAGAGTCCGAAGACCATCCTCATCCTCTGGGAGAACGTCATGCAAAAGGAGGGTCTCCTCTGCGTCTGACAGCCACTCCAGCAGGGGGTGCACCACGTAGTTAAACTCCTACGCCTAATGGTGGGCACACACACACACACACCCCAAACAAGAGCCCCAGATATGCTTGTAGTATAGCAGATGCTTCCTCTCAATGGGAAAAAAGTCTTACTTACATTTAAACTGATTAAATCAAGTGCACATTATCCCCATTAAAAAGATAAAGCTATACCGTGCTGCATTTTACAAACATAAGAAAAACATCTAATATAGCAAAAAGGCCTCTATGAAGAATGATTCCATTTTAACCATCTGATTTCAGATGAACGGCAGCCTGCTACACATCCCAGCTGAAAAATTGCCCAAGATGACTCAAGCAGCGCTTTTACGTGAGGGTGAGAGAACTTCCCTCTCTGAATAATTAAGTGGGGTTGGGAGGAGGACCGAGGCAAGGATGCTGAAGAACTTCCTTCTCCACGGCTGTCCTGCTTAAGAAGGGGGACGTTTCACAGTTCTTCAGAGAGCCGTTCCGCGCCTTTCTCCCTATGCCCGGCTCTGTCCGACGTGACTTTTTACCTGACACAGAGCCGCCTCCAGCCGTGTTTGCTTTAATACAGAAAGTGCGCACACGGTGTCCCAGGGGTGCCTAACTCCTGCATCTGGACCTTGACCCAGGAGGAGTCCTCTCGGTTGCCTTCTGTGAGCTCTCCGGCCGAGCGCTCCAGGGCCTGCACGCTGCTGGCCCTCTTCTCCAGCTCTTTTTGGAAGACCTAAGAAGACCATATTTTTATAAAAATTGATTTTTTAAATTAACCAAACCACAGCAGTAAAACATACTGTTTGAAATACACATGTGCCTAACAACATCACGTATAGATCTCCAAGACCCACACTTTAATGACCCATATTTTTCACAGAGGACAGGACCACCGCTCCCACTGGTGTGAGGCTGTTCGATCTTGTGACACTCTCCTGAATAGCCTTGTTGTTTTAAATGACACATTGGATTTAAACAGTGGTGGCCAACCTTCTTTACTTCAAGTCCACCAAAAAAAAGGCATCAAATCCTTTATCCTCATTCTTTAATATGGTGTCCCAATTTCCTCTCAAACGTTAGTGTGCGTGCCAACTCTGTGCTGACTACAGCACTACTCGTAATTAGTAAAGTATCTAAGAGACTAACAAATAACTCAGCAATCCTGGGGCACTTCACGGGTTCTTAGAGATAATGGTCTTAGAGGAAGCCCACAGGAGTTGGTAGATAGCCCATTTTTCCTATAAGATGCCTTTGTCTTTCACAGCATCCTGAATACCAGCCCATAGCGCCAAATTTTAGAGACCTAAATTTTTATCTGTCACCTTGGAAGAAAAGCTTTTTTGCCTTCCCACTTAATTTTGATGAATTTCGATGTGCTATGAGTTAAACTGACTTCTTTTGGCCACAGACTTAATCCAAGAAATGAACCCAGGGTACTTCATTTCTGATCCAAGAGTCTGTATATGCAACTAGATCTTCCAAATAACCAATCTTATAGGTAGATTAAAATTAACTCACTACTTCTCTAAAAAAATAATCAAATGGATATCACCAAGCACATTTTATAATTTTGGCTATCTCCATGATTTTCTATTCTGATCATCAGACCATTCATAAAAGTGAGCCCATCAAGAACAATCCAAACATAATGTGATGAATTCTTTGCTGATTTCACTCTAACGGTGTTAAACAAGATGTGCCTGTAGGTAACAGATACACGTACACATATATGCACACACACATGCACAGAAGAGACGTTGTCTATTCATTTTGTGATAGGACTAATTCAACAGTTCTGATTAGACCTTCCAATGTACTTTGTATACTTAAAACTTCTTCTTTAGCCTTCCAATTTTATTACTAATGCTGAATGATTAGTACATTCTTGATGACCTTCAATATATAAAAAACCTGGCAAGTGCCTAGCAGAGTAAATATTTAGACAGTGAGATTATACAAATGGCATCTATGTAAAAAGTAACATTACACTATTCATTACTCACTGAATGAATGCCAGGGAATGGAAAAGTTTGTATTAATCATGCACAAAACATTTGTCTCAATATAAGTAAAGCTACATTATTTTTTAAATGTTTTAGTTTTGTGGGACTGATCAATGTTCTTCACCTATTCTTTTATTTTCTGTTAATATGAAAATATAACACACTCTCTTTTATGGATATAATGAAAGAATAGAACCAGAAAAGGGGAAATAAATCTGCAAAAGGACCAAATACTTAAAAAGAACAGTAAGATAAAAATGGGAAAACCAGGGAAGTATAAAGAGAACATTTTTAAATGAAATACATTTTCTGAACTCAAAAAATGACAGGGGGAAATATAACATGAATTCAAGGACAGTGCTATAAGATATTTGTAAATAAAGTCAACCCTGATACAACCATTTTATATTAGTGCCATGCCTCATATTCTTTTTAGGGTTCTTTAAGCTGTAATACAGCATTTCATCATCATATAGGATGTTACACTCAGTATCACCTGGACATCTTGAATATTACCTTGGCTTGAACAACAGTTTAACATAACATACCTATCAGCAAATAGCGAGGAAACTAATTTTCTTTAAGTAATAATCAAATCCCTCTTAATGTATGTCATTGCCTCATAAATTGCTGTAGTTCAGTGGGCAAGGTTCCCACAGTTTTTAAAAAAAGGAAAGTCATAGATCAAGTTACAAATTCATACACTTATGCAATGACCAAGTTCCAGGCCACTGAATGAACAATTTTAAATCATATCACATCATTATTTACGTGAATAATGAAAGATAATAAAACAGTCTTGGAACATGTTTTAATGTTACCAGACAATGAACTCACTTTCTAAGTTCTAAAAGATTTTAAATGTGGTAATTATAAACAAAAGTATTTCACTGATCCTAAAGTAATTTTCCTGTATCACTTTTAAAATTGGTTTCCTGATTCTGCTCAAATGTACACATATTTCAGTATGAAAGACTGTTGCATAGTATGATACATAGCCTCTAGATTTTAAAAGGCTAAGTGGTTACAGTTTCCTCTATACTCAGAATTATCAAATGAGATCAATAAAATGTCCCAGATGACAATACCTTGTGATTTTTGATCATATAAATCACTAAACTAACATCCCCATGGACAGGCTGGTCTTCTGCCAGTTGGGGTTCAACTCTATACAACCAGTCACTGAGGGCCTGCAGGGCATCTGTGAATTGTCCAGAGAATAACAGGGCTTCTTCCAACTTGTTTTGCCTGAAGAAAAAGGTAGATAAATCAATCTGGGCAACAAAAGCCACACTGTACATCCGAACATGTAAAACTCATTCGTGAAGGCTGAGCAGGACTCAACAGGAAAAACAACATCCTGGTATTCATGGCTGTTTCTTTGCTTTCCTTAGAAAATAACAAAACTTCTTTTCAAACTTTCTCTCTTATCCTTTAAATACACAGCACCTGTTCCAGAAAAATTCCCCCATCACACCTCTGGAAATCACTGACCCTTCAGTTTCTTCAGAAAAATTGGACTTTTTAATTAAAATTTATTTTCAAATTTGTGTATTAAACTATCACACATTTCTGGGGTGTACAGTTCTATGAACTGTAGCATATGGACAGGTTCACACAGCCATCATCATAACCAAGACATAGAACTGTTGCATCATTTCCCAAATCTCCCTCCTGCTGTTTGTTTATAGGCACGGCCCGCCCCCATCTCTAAGCCCTGGCGTTCAGGGATCTGTTTGCCATCACCAGTTTCATCTTTTCAAGAATGCAATGTAAATGAAAAACATTTATATGATATTGTTAAAAGAATATAACCTTCTGAGAGTGTAAATTTTAAAGATTCTTAAAAACTAACAACTAAAAGAAACTCATTATGAAGTTCCCTACAACTGAATATACTATTCTATTTAATCTTAATTCTGACAAAAGTAATGAACTCTTCTACTACTATACTAATTTCTTAAATACTTAACAATTTGGCAGTAAGTTTAGGGCCTTCACAGATGAAGTGTAATGAGAAAGGAGATTGGAAAAGGGGGGACAGAATGTGGGAGGGAACAGCAGGGTCAGAGCAGTAGGACCCCACATGCCACATTAAGCAGCCTGTGTTTTAGTTCACATCCAGTATTAAGTGCTTAAAGGGTAATAAAGCAGTGGAATGACAAGATTCTACTTATAATTTTAAAAGACCACCCTAGCAGTTAATGTGGAAAGTGGATTAAGGACAAAGCAGACCTGAGGAGACCAGTCTGAAGGCAGTTGCTCGAGTCAGGTGTGAGAAGACTGAGGCTTGGAGAAGGATATCAGTTCTGAGTGAACTGAGAAGTTAAAAATAAACAATAATGAACAGCAAAGCCTTCTCAGTGCAGGAACAGTGTAAGTGAGTTTATTACAGATGAGCGGAAGGTCCCAGGCAAAGGACATATTTAAGGTTCCAAAAATGTTCCCTCCAAGCACCACTATCATGTGTTTGAAAGAGGCCTACAAAGTAACCAAACTGTCTTAGGGAACACTGTACCTTTGCCCAGATTTCCCACAGATCGTGTCCAATTTCTCTTTGAGATCAGTCAGCATGTCATCCAGTTTCAGATTGTCGTCAGCCAGGGAGGTTTTCTCCTTCAGAGAATGTCCAGTTCTGGTGGTGGTGTCATAGACAGAATGCTTGGCTCCCAGTGATTTCTGAAACTCCTACATATTTAACAAGAAAACAATGTGCGTTTCTACTTGGGACTAATAAATAAACAGGTAAGAGACATTAAAAGAGGCATTCTTTAACAAATGGACTCTAAACCTTACTGGAAGACACCAGCAAATAATCAAGTCAGAGTATACTCCTATACTCTAGAACACAACAGGGGAGAAAAGAAACTTCAGATTTGCAAATCGAAGGATTTATTTTTCTCAGAAGCCAGGTATCTCTAAGAGCACCTACTTTTGTCAGAAAATATTTCCAAGTAAAACAAATCCCTCATCTTTTGTGGTTACAAACCAGAAACAGCATACTAGTTCTGATAAAATGTAATTGTTAATAAACTACTGAACAACCCAAGGGTTTGGAGAGGAAAATGTAGTTAATACTCTGTGAGTAACTATAGGTCCAGTGGGGACAGAGAGTGACTCAATAGTGCATACATTTACTACAGGGCTTCTTCTGGCCAAACAGATTTATTTTCACACATTTTGGATATTCACAACAATGTTACATGTAATTTTATCTGTGAGCCAGGAGAAGGGACACATAAGAACCATATCTGTGGATTCCTGTGTTTGGACCTATTGTTCTTTCTATTCACACCATTTGGGGAGCTGATACCCCTCTTCCCCACGGCTTTAATGCCCAACCAGAGCCTCAGAAAGATCCACAGATTATTTTTCCAGGATTGAACAGCTACATTGTTAACATGGCATCTACACTTTGCTGCTTAACATTGTTGACCATGTTTGTATCTGTATGTACGTGCGAGGGGGTGAATTCTCTTCCTTCTACCTAACTCAATTACAGGTTTTTCTGGAGCAGAGAGCTATTATCTCTGTAGGCCTCTCATTACCACCTTGTATATTGGGTGTGTTCATAAGTACATAATAGAAAGAATGAGACAACCAGTACTGAATATTTAATCTCAGGGATGAGAAGGAAAGGTCAAACTAACGGGCACTTTATGAGCTCATGAAATATCATGGAAACATGAATACAATGATTCTCAACTCTGGTAGCATCTTGGAGTCATCCCAGATAGTGAAATGTTATGCAAATGGGTAATTTTCCATAATAACCTTGGTTATAGTTACCTAATTAAGTTTTTATTGCCTTTAAAATCTAGACATTTTATGACTAAAATATTTTGTCTTGTAATAGATGGCAGCTACATCTGCGAATATTTAGCAATAAATACCATTATAATGTCACACTATTTCTACAGTTTATCTTCTATACTTATTATTATTTTTTCATGTTAGTTTAAAGAGAATGTTGGTTTTAGAATCATGGTATTGACAGATTTTCTTCACAAATCAGACACCTAATAACTGTAATAGTTGAATACAGGATAGATTAAAACTTTTTAAGGTCAGAAAGTACCCAAATGATGACTAGAAAAGACTTCTTTTAAAATTGGCTGTGTGGGTCTTGCACATTTCAGAGAAATGGTTGACTTGAGTAACAGGTCACGCTAGATGGGGCTCTTCACATATTCTTATTTCTAGGATTCTCCAACTTAAATATGCAATATACATTCATAAGAATACATGACACCACCTCCTCAACTTCAAGTTCAAATTCGGCATTTTATTTTGAGAAAGGCTCTCAGCTCTCCATCAGAGGGGAAGGAAGGTGCTGCTCGCTATCATTGTGCTGCCAGTATTGTGTGGGACAGCTCCAAGGCAGAGGGCACCAGCAGAACAAGCCATTCATGAGCCCTCATCTAGTCAAAGAATGGACCCACAAACGCTTCCTTCCATCCTCCTAGGATCATGACCCCTTGAGGTCAATTAGAACCAAAGATGGGAGCAACTGACCTGCATGAAGGTGATGGCCAGAATTTCCCAATGATGATGAACCTTACATCGCCCCAAGATTTTCCAGTCTTTCAAATATTATGTTTCCAGCGATGACTTACATGCAGAAGCCTAAAACTGTAAAAGCATTTGCAGGAGCCGCTCTCCCTTTGCATGCCATGTAATAGAAAATATAAAATACAACATTTCCACATCTAGTCTGCACAAGGAAGCTACTGACCATGTGTCTTTGAGGGTAAGAGTGGAATTTCATATACTCGCATATACATACACACAACAAAATGCCAATTTTCCCCACTGCATTGTATGAAAGAATCTATATGGCAAAATATATATTAAACTTTACTATAGAATTATTTTCTACATGGCATTTGGTCTATGAAAGAAATTACTGGACAAGATAGTGGTGAAAACTTGGGGTGCCCTACAAATCCTTTATATGCTGTATATTGTGGAAGCTTCCAGTTTTACTGCTGAATGTTTTCTCTTACCAGTTGTTCACCCTGGAATCATAATGGAACAGCCAGAGTAAAGATACTACTGCCACTTAGCCAGTGTAAAGGGCCACTGGATTACATGTAATGTAGGTACACAAGGACAGCCTTCTTTTTCCAGGGCTGAATAAATACACAGTTGTGTGACGATTTAAAAGTGATCTTGAGATATATAATGACACAATAGGCTTTCTTAATTGTAGACCCACCTTGAGCTGTGCAAGTTGTGTTTTTATTTCATCTGGATCGTTGGCGATTTCCAGTTCAGAATCCAAAGAGTTTTCTGACTCTTCCAGCCACTCCATAAGTTTACTCCAAGCTTCGTGGAACTGTAAAAGAGATTCCTGTCTCTGTCCAGGAAACTTTCTGGTATACTTACTATGTTTAAAATTGAGTGTTTTTCAAATAGAAAATGAATATTCATGGAAATGTTAAATTATTAAGTCAAAACTTCCTCTGAAGAAGAAAATAATAATAGTTTCATCAGCAGATTATGCAATGTCTAGTTAATGCTTGGCTTTTGTGGCCATGCCCCAGGGTCACTTTGCTGTAATGCATTCAAACACATAAACTCCAACAAAAATAGGAATGAGCCCAGAACAGTTAGGGAGCACTAGGGAGAACTTGCCCTCCTTTCCTTTTGCTTAATAATTAATGTAAACTCTCAGAGAATTTTACTTGTCCAGAGATGTCTCTTGAGCTTACTCCTAAGGTGTTTAATTCCTATGTTAAGAAAAAGGAACAAAAGGAAGAGAGGGGAAGTATGAAGTTTATAAATTGGTTTTGAAAAGTAACAGGAATAAAAAGAGGCCATTTACAACTCTATTTAATACAAAGGTAGTCTGACATCTTTATTGCTGCCATCAAAATCCTCAAATGAATATCTGTGCCTCACATATATATAGGTTTTATGATATGTAAGAGCACCCACAACCCTTGAATTCTAACAATATAATTCTTTTCGGTATCTTGAAATATTCTGGTGCTATGCATATTGGATTTCAACCAGTCTCTTTCTTGTTTATCACAGAGAACTAGTGTTCTCTGTGTACTCATTTTGGATGCCAAATTGTGAAACTGGCTACAAATTTTTTCTCATAATAAATTTAAGTGAATGTACACATAATAAAACTATGTAATCAAAACCTGTTTTATATCAAAGCATACTAATGATGAAATAACAAAGGACATTTAACAATAAGAACAATAAGAGCACACAACCACACAGCTGCAAAGGCCCACTAGAGGCATCTCATCGAACCCGCTCTCCTTGTGCATCCCTCTCGCAGCTCTAACCAATTTGAACATGGAAACCAAAGGCTGTAACAGGCACATAAAGTACCAAAGTTGGAGAATGAGATCAACATCTGAGCCCAAAACTGAGATATTAGGACAATAAAAAATAAATTATAGAAACAGCTAGTCATGGTGTTCGCTCATCTTTCTGCAAATATATAGGCTATAACAACGGTAAGTTTAGTGATATAAATACACAGGTTTTAAGGCTGGCCCTGCTTTCAAAACTACTTTTAAGCCAGGTAAAGCAGAAGAAATGCTACCCTTTGGCATCAAAAACAGTAGAAAATCCTTATAAAGTTAATCAGACAAAATGAGAAAATAAAATTGACTAACTAGAGAAAGAAGCAAGAGGGTGGGCCACTGACTACTGGCATCCAAAAGACTTTCATAAATTAAACATTCATAATTCAAGAAATGCCTACACTACAATAACACTGCTACATATGTGGAAAGAAAATATCAGGTTCATCATTAATACTGTCTTAAAAAACATTAGAGACTGACTTTATTCTAGAGACTCACTTATAAAAAGGGACGTATCACACATCCCACTCAGAAAAGCCATCTATGGCATGTAACCCTGTAAAAATGTGACTTGACATTTCTAAAGCCTTTAACAAATTTATGCTGATAGTTTTAAACAATGAAACATTTAACTCCTGTATATTCTGCATCACCCAACTGAGCTCCCCCAAAATAATGGAGTCCAAATCCAGTGATAGAAAATGCAACTGAATGGGACAAGACAAGCCATTGCAAAATACAGCTGCAATATTATAATAAAGTTTCTAGTAGAAATCAAACAATATATAAGCCAAGCAAGGTGGGTAGATTTGTCTCCTTCCCAGAGTACAGAGACACATAATTTTCCCTCTTCTCTGTGTTAGTCTAGAAGGGAATATGAGTGACAGCAGAAGAGGGCAAGGAAACCTCCTTGTGAGATCCATGAAATTCTCTAGATTTAAAAAGATAAATAAAAAGGAAAAACACATCCCCAAAAGATTCCGACGATTAATTTAAAAGCGGGATGAAGCTGTATCAAAATGTCAGAGAAGAAATTAAGGCTTTCCAATAAGTGTACGAACTCAGAGAGGTGAGAAATAACAACCAGCACAGACACAGCATAGGCCCTGTCACAAAACTGGCTCTCTCAGCTGATTGTGAAGAAAGTTTGGATGGGGAACTAAACAAAAGACAGCAATAGAATAATTATAAAGAATGATGTCTTATTCTGGCTACAGAGTGGAGGGAAAGGAGACAGAGAAAACCAACCAACCCAGTAACAAAAACGCTGGGCCTCTCTTGGGGCCTTAATGATAACAGTCCATCGAGGAAGTCAAGTAATAATCAATCAGTCCTTTAAAGATTAGTCCCCAGGGCCTGAAGTGGCTGCCAGATCAAAAAGCAATGTCTGTTGTAAATAGTGCAGCTAATACCCTCTAGCTCCATCCATGTTGTTGTAAATGGTAGGATCTGTTTTTTTCTTATGACTGAGTAATATTCAGATGGAACTAGAGGGTATTATGCTCAGTGAAATGAGCCAGGTGGAGGAAGACAAGTCCCAAATGATTTCACTCGTATGTGGAGTATGAGAACAAAGGAAAACTGAAGGAACAAAACAGCAGCAGAATCACAGAACCCAAGAATGGACTAACAGTTATCAAAAGGAAAGGGACTGGGGAGGATGGGTGGGAACGGGGGAACAAGGGCGGCGAAAAAGAAAGGGGGCATTACAATTAGCATGTATAGTGTGGAGGTGGCATGGGGTGGGCTGTGCAACACAGAGAAGACAAGTAGTGATTTTACAGCATCTTACTATGCTGATGGACAGTGACTGTGAAGGGGTATGTGGGGGGGACTTGGTGAAGGGGGGAGCCTAGTAATCATAATGTTCTTCATATAATTGTAGATTAATGATACCAAAAAAAAAAAAGCAATGTCATCACCCAAACTTAGGTCACAAGTCTTTTTAGGAAATATACACCTTGGCTTTGCACATGCATGTTACACCTAATACAGTCTGCAGTAAAAGTACTTTAGTGACACAATATATATTTCAACAGCTAGAACTGATTTACTGCCAAGCTCAGGAAATTTTTACAAAGGTCTACCTGCTTGGCCCTCTTCTTTGCATCATCCAAGGATCTTCCTCTTTCTACCAACCGTTGAACCATTTTTTCCCATCGACTTTGTACACTGATCAGTAGATTTTTAATTAGGACAACATCTTGTTTCTGACTGAAATACTTCCGGTGGGTTCCAGTTCTGTCCAGCTCTATTATCTGACCACGGTGAGAATTTACTTCACTGGCAAAGACCTTTCCCAAAAAAGGGGGTATAATTAGAAACAAAGGAAAGCTGATTTATCTTAAAAATGCTTCTGGTGTCCTAAGCTCAAACTGTTTCAAAGGACAAAATAAAGTTTGCAAACTACCAAATTCATGCTTCTGACATTAAAACAGTCTGTTGTCTAAAAAGTCTGAAATGAGAATGTTACTCATCTGAGTTGCAACACACCTTGTGTTCGTCCATTTCAAATAAGACTGTGTCCAAGATAAGACTTGGCTGAGAAGCTACATTTAGGGTCTGTTCCGCCTGGGTAAGCCAGTTGATGAACTCTTGGAGAGAATTGTGGAACTCCAATGCCAAGTTGAGGGCCTCTTCCAGTTTAGTCTGCAGAGACAGATTATTATGGTACTTGACGATATTCAAGGCTCTCTCCCTGCCCCCACCAGTTTAAGCACTCTCTGGCAGATGCGCTTCCCATCCACATCTTATTTATGCATGATCTGTATTACCCAAACAGTTCATGAACGTAGTGCGCCTTAACTAAAATACTGGCAAACCAAGACCCTTTAATACAGCGAGAAACATCTCACTGCAGCTAAAAAAACAATTTAATATACACTGAAATTAATTATGGTTTGGGGGCAATTAACTACAGAACACAACTATTAAACAGAATGTGTAGAAATAAAATTTGACATTCATATGATTAATTTTTGGTGCCAAAATACTATGAAATACGTATTATGCTCTGTCAGTAAGGGAATATAATCTAGTACTTCTAGCCTATCCTTTTTCTTAGGGTATTAAACAGTAATATTTTTAATCTTACTTGTGAACTTACATTAAGTGCTTATTATATAAACAATCATCTCCCTCTCTCCTACATACAGTCCTTTGCTTGATTAGTGTGATTAGATAGAATTACTTAACAGTCCAGAATTTGAATGGTTCATAAATTTAAAAATGTTACCTATCAAACTTGATCTGGGATATACCTTTATCTGTGTTTGAATAGATTCCTTTAACTCTGTTCTTCTATGTTAAGACAGAATACAATTTTCAACTGACCCCATGTAACCTCTACATATACAAAGAAAATCTAAGCATGGATCATTAAAACATGGATTAACAGACTGTTCACTAATGATGCTACTCAGAGATAAGGTAAAACCCATGAAATAAAACAGCCAAAACATTCATTCTATTATATTAATTAAGTCACATACTTTTCTTTCATTGAGTTTGGTTTCCACAGATTCCCATTTTTCTTTCAAGTTATTTATGTCTTGGTCAATATTTGTCTCTGCAGATTTTGGGCATCTTGCAAGCATCTGCTGGTGTTTCTGCATCAGGCTTCTATATGTCTCTTCTATAACATCAAAGGCAGCACAGATTTCCTAAACAGAGTTATCCCCCCAAGTTATATCATTTTTAAGGGAATAAAATCTAAGAATCCTTTATCCAGTACATCAATCCCAAGCCTCTTATTATGTAGTCATCACCATCCAGCACAAAGAATAACCCTGACACATTCAAACTTTTCATTATTATTGAAACAACACCTAAACCTAGAGCTACATCCTATCCACCAAGCAATCTCAGAAAAGGTGCTATAAGGCAATCCACTCCAGCACGCTAAGGTTTGCGAGAAGTATTTTTAGTGTTACCAAGAAAGGTTTCACTGTACAGTAACCAGTCACTTCTGTGACCCTAGGCAAGAAATTTAACCTCCCTGAGCTTCAGTTTCTCTTCTGTGAAATGGTTTCTCTCCTGAGACTATGATACAATGACTGTAATATTTTTTGGTATAATTTAATTCCATACTCTGAAGATATACAGGGGATTGAAAGCAAAGACCCAATACAGTGAGATATTTAAGTTGATTATTCAGAATTTGGAATCACAAAAGCCAAACTGTGACACTATGAGTATTATTTTCCTTTATAACATTTTTAAAGCTTTTAACTAGGAGTTAAAAGCAGTACTTTTCCACAAAGAATGTTTTAAAAATTGATATCAACAAATTCAGAATTGAAGATCAGTAAAATACAGCTATATTTGTGTAAAAAATTAAGACCAGTTCTATTCTACTGATTAATTATAACTGAATCATAATTATTTTAAATATTGACTATTTTTAAAACTCAAATTATAGCTACTACAGAAAAACTGTTTATTCTATGTCTATCACTTAACTTTATAATTTTTAAAATTAAGATATGTTCATAAAATTCTTCATTTTGAAGTGCACATCAGTATTTTTTAGTATATTCATAGGAATGCACAACCAAGAGGAGAACCAAGATGGGGGCGTGAGTAGAGCAGTGGAAATCTCCTCCCAAAACCATATATATTTTTGAATATACAACAAATACAACTATTCCTAAAAGAGAGACCAGAAGACACAGGACAACAGCCAGACTACATCCACACCTGAGAGAACCCAGCACCTCACGAAGGGGATAAGACACAAGCCGCAGCCCGGCAGGACCCGAGCGCCCCTACCCCCAGCTCCCGGCAGGAGGAGAGGAGTCAGAGCGGGGAGGGAGAGGGAGCCCAGGACTGCTAAACACCCAGCCCCGGCCATCCACACCAGAGCACAGACACACAGTGTGTGAGGTGGTGGATACTAGGGAAACAGTACAGTAAGACCTGCGAGCGGGTCCTCACAGCTGGCATGCCTGAGACAAAGAAAAGTGAGTGCTTTTTAAAAGTCTTAAAGGGACAGGGACCCCACAGCTGGACGGAAACGTCCTGGGACACTTAGACTAGAGACTGGGAATCCAAGGGAACTCCAGGTGTCCTACCCCCCTGGGCAGAAGCACAGCTCGGAGACCCCTCATGGTGATAAACAGCCTCCTGCCCATTCCCCCTCCGATGCGGCTCCGCCATATTGGAGAAGCAGCCTGAGGCTGGCCATGCCCACAGCAACTGCGGAGCTCCACAGCGGCCGGGCAAGAATTAGAAACCCCGCCTGCATGCAGCTACCCAGCACAAGCCGCTAGGGGTCACTGTTCTCCCAGGAGAGGAAGGCCACAAACCAGCAAGAAGGGACTTCCTCTTAGCCAACACACGCACCAGCTCCCCATAAATACCTCTATTGCCATGAAAAGGCAGAAGAATTTGATACAGACCAAGATCACAGAGGCAAACCCTGAGAAGGAGATAGACCTAACCAATCTCCATGAAAAAGAATTAAAAATAAAGCTCAGAACCATGCTGATGGAGCTCCAGAGAAATATTCAAGAGCTACGGGATGACATCCAGAAGGAGATTACAGAAATGAAACAATCTCTGGAAGGATTTATAAGCAGAATGGATAAGATGCAAGAGGCCATTGATGGAATAGAAACCAGAGAACAGGAATGCATAGAAGCTGACACAGAGAGAGATAAAAGGATCTCCAGGAATGAAACAATATTAAGAGAACTGTGTGACCAATCCAAAAGGAACAATATCCGCATTATAGGGGTACCAGAAGTAGAAGAAGAGAGAAAAAGGGATAGAAAGTGTCTTTGAAGAAATAATTGCTGAAAACTTCCCCAAATTGGGGGAGGAAATAATCGATCATACCACGGAAGTCCACAGAACTCCCAACAGAAGGGACCCAAGGAGGACAACACCAAGACACATAATAATTAAAATGACAAAGATCAAGGACAAGGACAGAGTTTTAAAGGCAGCTAGAGAGAGGAAAAAGGTCACCTACAAAGGAAAACCCATCAGGTAATCATCAGACTTCTCAACAGAAACATTACAGGCCAGAAGAGAATGGCATGATATATTTAATGCAATGAAATAGAAGGGCCTTGAACCAAGAATACTGTATCCAGCATGATTATCATTTAAATATGAAGGAGGGATTAAACAATTCTCAGACAAGCAAAAGTTGAGGGAATTTGCCTACCACAAACCACATCTACAGGGTATTTTAGAGGGACTGCTCTAGATGGGAGCACTCCTAAGGCTAAATAGATGTCACCAGAGAAAATAAAATCACAGCAAAGAAAGCAGACCAACCAAATACTAACTAAAGGCAAAAAATAAAATCAACTACCCACAAAAGCAGTTAAATCCCTGTTTAAAATAGCTCAATAAGCGAGTTAAGTTAGACAGTAAGATACTAAAGAAGAATAACCTTGAACCTTTGGTAACCATGAATCTAAAGCCTGCAATGGCAATAAGTACATATCTCTCAATAGTCACCCTAAATGTAAATGGACTGAATGCACCAATCAAAAGACACAGAGTAATAGAATGGATAAAAAAGACAGACCCATCTATATGCTGCTTACAAGAGACTCACCTCAAACCGAAAGACATGCCCAGACTAAAAGCCAAGGGATGGAAAAAGATATTTCATGCAAACAACAGGGAGAAAAAAACAGGTGTTGCAGTAGTATCAGACAAAATAGACCTCAAAACAAAGAAAGTAACAAAAGATAAAGGACATTACATAATGATAGAGAGCTCAGTTCGACAAGAGGATATAACCATTATAAATATATATGCACCCAACACAGGAGCACCAACATATGTGAAACAAATACTAACAGAACTAAAGGGGGAAAGAGAATGCAATGCATTCATTTTAGGAGACTTCAACATGCCACTCATTCCAAAGGATAGATCCACCGGACAGAAAATAAGTAAGGACACAGAGGCACTGAACAACACACTAGAACAGATGGACCTAACAGACATCTATAAAACTCTACATCCAAAAGCCACTATTTACAATGGCCAAGAAATGGAAGCAACCTAAGTGTCCATCAGTAGATGAATGGATAAAGAAGATGTGGTACATGTACACAATGGAATATTATTCAGCCATAAGAAGAAAACAAATCCTACCATTTGCAACAACATGGATGGAGCTAGAGGGTATAAATAAGCCAGGCAGAGAAAGACAAACACCAAATGATTTCACTCATATGTGGAGTATAGGAACAAAGAAAGACTGAAGGAACAAAACAGCAGCAGAATCACAGAACCTAAGAATGGACTAACAGTTACCAAAGGGAAAGGGACTGGGGAGAATGGGAGGGTAGGGAGGGATAAGGGTGGGGAAAATGAAAGGGGGTATTATGATTAGCATGTATAATGTGGGGGTGGGGCATGGGGAGGGCTGTACAACACAGAAAAGACAAGTATTTATTCTACAGCATCTTACTACGCTGATGGACAGTACTGTAATAGGGTTTGTGGGGGGGACGTGGTGAAAGGGGGACCCTAGTAAACATAATGTTCTTCAAGTAATTGTTTATTAATGACAACAAAATCAAAATAAATAAAAGAAAAAAAGAATGCGCAACCATCATCACTATTAATTCCAAATTTTTGTCACCTCAAAACTTTGTGATTTTTGAAGCCTTAAAAAAAAACAACTTTCTAAACATACCTGTAATACCACCTGCTAAAAGCTCTTAATCCTAAAGCAAAACTTAAATATATCTCTTGAAACTGTAATATTCCAGTTTTTCTAGTTTCCTTCATTTCTAACACAACCACAAAAAAAAATTTACTAAAACAGTATTACAAAATATCAATAAAACTTTAGAATTCCTTGTATCATGAAATTTCTATAATCTGGCATATAATGTCAGGTTCTGGCAAACTTATTTTATATATCCTATTCAACCCAAATAAGCTGATACGTAGTATTTTTCTAAAAGTAAAATATTTTAAAGATAAGGCATTCCAACTTTTTACATGAATCTTCTAAGTTAACATTTTAAAAGTGTTTGCTATTAAATACTAATTCCAAGCATATTTGGTCAAGAAGTTATTAAACTTATATTTAATGAACACTCTTAATAGCTATGCAGGTACTTCCAGGAAAGTAAGCAAGTATCTGGGAGTCAGTCAGGTTTTATGGAAAAGAAAGAAAAGCACTGCTATTATTTTGTCAATTATTTTTTCAGCCAAAATGGGTCTTTTGTGTCACCAAAAAAACAACAGTTAATAAAAACAAAATCATAGAAACAGTCCTTTTCTAAAACAATGAATATCTATTAAAGGTTTCTAGAAAATTCCACACTGGATAATAGGATTTACAAACTGCTTATGGCAACTGTGAAATGATAAGATGGTATTTTTGTTATATTTCTTCACAACACCCACAAGAAAGTTACTTTCTTTCCAAGTCACCAAATCCAAAATTGTTTCCAAATTGTACAGTTTTAATACGTACACTTCCACTAAAGAGTATAAACTTTAATGAACAATGATTGACCCATTTCTTTTGCCAAATCTCCAAATACTTCCATTTTTACTTTCTAAAATACTAATCATCAGCATTTGAATATTTAAAAATCTCTGGTGCAAATTCAAATTTAATGTAAAAGAGGATTTGTTTCCAAAATTGAAACAGACTGATTTCTATTAGAACTTTGAGCTGAATTACAATGGAAAATTAATAGGATATGTCAATAAATCAAAGGTAGTCTAAATTTAATTTGTCAGTCCATACTTCTGTGCAAAAAAGCCAGAGTCTCAAGTTCTATTAATTCTTCTTCCTTATCCTTAAGAGTTGACAGTGGCACGGAATCTGGGTGGGAAGGGCCCACAGACACAGTGCTCCAGACTGGACGGTTCAGACAGGAGCCTCCTCTTGGCCCTTCCTAGTATAGCTATGAAATTGGAGATACAGCCCTATCAACATTAAAACAAATACACAAGTAACTTTGTTTTAACAGAACAGAGAACATATTTTCCAGCCTTCCATGAAACATGGTGGGTATATCATGATTATGACAATAATTTTTTTTTTTTTTT